ATATATATACAAATAAAAAATATGCACTTCGTGTATATTTATGTAAGTTTATAACTTAAGTACCCTGCACCATGATATGTGTGTAATCTAAAAATTTAGAAACATCCGACATTTAAAATAGAGCTCGAAACTATCATCCACCCGTTGCATACAGATAAGCACCGGTTCCGCAAATATTCTTCTAGCATAGGTATCCGTATAACATATCATCTTCAATAAATTACAAAGTCATTATTAAAAAAAATTAGAAAACTTTTAAAAATACTTGGTGGCGACAAATATCAACTGTTGATATTTGATTCAATAGTTTGACACATATTTTTTCAAGATTGACTGTGTATCTATTTTTCGGGTTCTAATCAAAAATAACGTGGTAGTATAAAAATCCAAATTAAAGTTAAAAAATACGAGTGCATTTAAATATATTAAACAATAAAAAAATACTTGATATATGAATAAAATATTAGATTTAAATCACCTGAAATTTTCCAAAAAAATAGAATAAATATTAAAGATCTAGACGCGCCATAAAAAATTTTAAGAATTTCTGGTATATAACATATGAAAGACAAAATGCAAATATCGATTATTATAATTATTATGGTTTCTATAAAATGCTTAATACGTGTTATACTGTATATATACTATCATCCTTTTTGATATCCATTTCTAAAGTAGTGATAAAAATTGATGAAAAGAAAATGATGAAAATTTTAATTTTTTTTATATTATTGACATAAGATATTATCAGTAATGATGCAATCTCTAACTCTACCATAGCGAAAATGTTCAATTCCATCATATTCAATAAAAGTCGCACACTTTGCGAATTACCGATCGCGTTAAAAGTGCAGCAGCTACTCACAATCACTAATTGATTCAGTTATTATTAATTATTATTAATATAATGTAATATTATATATTATATAATTACATATATAATATTATTTTATGTTATTAATATTTAATAATCAATAAAGTTAGGCCCTACGTACAACAGAGAAAATATTAAGAATAGGAAGAAATATATTAAATATTAGGAAGTGCAATTTGAAATTAATTTACTCCAAACACGAGGACGGAATAGTTTAATTATTCCTAATTTTTAATTCATTATGCATTAATCCATTCTGTTCCTTTGTTTGAAGTAAAATATAATTCCAAAATTTTCTTCCTAATATTTAATATTTATTCCTATTCCTAATATTTTCTCTATTGTGCCGGGTCTCAATTATAAAATTCGTTAAAATTACTTTTAACATTACACGACAATTTGTCAAGATTGTTGGAAACAGAGCAAATGCACACACACACATACAAGAAAAATTACAATCTCAATTTTATAGATTAATATCTTCAAATAAGTATGGATACGATTATTTGCATTGAACATCGCGTTAAATCTATTCAATAAAGATATAAAACCTAAACTCACCGAAAGTCCGACCTTATTCTTGTTGGTAAGCACCGTAATTAATAAAACTTAACAGAAATGAAAATAACTTTTATATACGTGTACATATTTTTCTCTTTTCATAATTACAAAAGCTCGAAATTTAAATTAATTTTTTTTCGTCACGCGCGAACTACAAATGTGAATTGCGAACTGCGAACTATGGAAGCATAGACATAAAAATACATAGATGGAGCATTCTATGCAACAATCACGATTCACGAATAGCCTGATGTGATACGTCTAGAGTCTAGACATCTAGACGCATATTCTTGTAACTAGACGGATCTAGTTATTATTGGTTCCCCGATTGTGGCTAACTTTACGTGGTCAAGGTATTTATTGACGCCCCTAGTGTATATATCACGTATATGTATAATACGTGATCGCGCCGCGGAACTGTCATATGTGTGGTCATGCAGACGTGTCCGTCGCCGTCGTCGCCGTCGCCGTTTGCAATCTGTTGACACATAACTGGACCTGGTGGTAAAGATTCTCGCGACACGCGCGCACGTGGAGCAAGCTGAGAGGATGCTGCGATGTTAGCACGCAGACGTCACATCGCAGGGAACGTGATAGATCGCGACTTCGCAATTGCGAGCTCGAGCAATTCGCGATATCATTATGATGGAGACGAAGCGAGTGACGAATTGTTGAGCGAGGAGACTGTCGATTCAACGGAGCATTCTACGACGACGACGACGACGATGACGTCTCGTGACAGGACCAACGAATTCGCCAACGCGATCCGCTCTATGCAGAGCAGAACCGTTGCGCGGACCGTTGCTAATCTGCAGAATCCGCGTCGCGCGCGCCAGATACAGAGCTACTCAAACTTCATGATGATAGCAAAGAACATTGGCAAAAATATTGCTAGCACATATACCAAACTGGAGAAGCTTGCCCTATGTAAGAATCAAATGTACAAGAGTTTGGTATACCGCTGACTGCAATTTTAATCAGTCTCAATATGTTATACCAAAGGAAAGATATTACAAGTAGAAAAATCATATTTGTTGCAAAAAATCTATTCTTATTTGTTCTAAAACCATCTCTTATACACAAATCTACATGGAAATTAGGAAAATTCAACTATAGGCTATACCAAATTGTTTCAGGAAACTATACAAAAAAAAAATGTTTAGAAATTTCAGATCCAATTGAAATTATTATTGACAGTTGCCATTAAATCTTATCATTTAAGATATCTGAATTAATATACACAAATTAAGTATGAATAGTAAAACTAGATTAAAAAACAGATGTTTATATTAAGCAAAAATACTGGTACCATTTTACAATAATTTTTATTTTACAGTGGCCAAGAAGAAATCCATATTTAATGACAGACAGATGGAAATTGAAGAACTTACAAATATTATTAAAACAGACCTAAAAAGTTTGAATCTTCAAATTGGGAAATTGCAAGAACTTGGAAAATCTCAAAGAGAAAGCTTTGGTTCCTCTCAGAGTCATCATATTGCTTCGCATTCTTCCTCAATTGTGATGACACTGCAATCTAAATTGGCGGACATGTCAAATAACTTTAAAAATGTTTTGGAAATTCGATCCGAGGTAGGCTAAAGTAAATGATATGTTTTATATATATCAAAAGGTTATTTTAATCATAGAAAATATTTTATACACTATAAATTCCCTTTGTTTTTTTCTAAAAAGAAATGAAATACATGGTGTGTAGATATTATATAACCAGATAATTATTTTGTTTAAATTTCTTTGAATGTTTATATTAATATTGTTGCACAATCAAATATTTATATATTATGAATATTTTAAGAGAAGGAAAGATTATATGAAATTGTAAATATTGTGGAAAATTAGAAAAGTGGCTACATATGTGAATGATAATAATACATAAATTATATGGAAACACACACAGAATATGAGAGAGGAGCAACACAGAAGACAACAATTTAGTCAAGGATCTGTATCTACTATGCTCCCCCCAAGTGTTGTTTCGGGAAAACAAGGTTCTTTATTACTACAGGAAGAGGTTTCTAGTAATTCAGTTGCGATAGACGTAGAACCAATGATGAAGCATCAGTTAATCATGCAACAATCTATGCAAGACGATACCGTAAGTGATCTAGCACATGTGTAAAGAAATTTAGTATCATACAAAATAGAACAATTACACATAGTTGCTTTTTGTAGGATGCATATGTCCAATCAAGAGCTGAGACCATGCAAAACATAGAATCTACTATAGTTGAATTAGGTGGCATTTTTCAGCAATTGGCACATATGGTTAAGGAACAAGAAGAAATGGTTGAAAGGTAAGAAAAAAAATGTAATTCTTGTCTGTGTTTCATGACAAATGAAAAAAATTATCTGAAAACATGTTACCATTATCAAAATTTTATAAATATAAATTCCTATTTGCAAAAAAGAATAATTTATTTACAGGATAGACAGTAATATAGAGGATACCGAGCTAAACGTGGAAGCTGCACATACTGAAATATTAAAGTACTTTCAGTCTGTAACAAGCAATAGATGGTTAATGATAAAGATATTCGCGGTCCTCATATTTTTCTTTATATTTTTTGTAGTGTTTTTGGCATAACACTCGGCACTATCAATTTATTATATGTATTTATATCGTTACATTTTATCATCCATATCTACTATTTGTGATATAAAAGAAATAGTTGCAAAATGATTTTTACAAAGCTAGGATCTTCATACATAACATAGGTGAAATGAAAAAGATATTCTGTGCATTCCTCCGCCCTTTCCCTAAATTGTGAATATTGTACATTTAAACACTTACCATTGTAAGTATTTAAATATTACGTTACTTGTACAATGCATCTTATTGAACACAAAATGTAAAAAGAAAATATTTCTATAGATAATAAATATATAATTTTCATCTTATATATATAGAAAAGGCAAACAATTTTCAAATAAATTGGACGAGTAACGTTTTACAGAGAATATATACATTCAAAATAAAAAATTTGATTATTTTATATATACTTATACTATTTATATATATGTGTGTAAAGTAATAATATATATATACATATATACGTTTTAGTTAAAATATTAAATCTGCAATAATTCTGATAACACACAGCCATAATAAATTACAATTTATTTCAATCTTTAAAACCATATATAACAATTATATTTTTTATTCTACATAGATTATACAAGAACTTTATTACAATATTTTATTTGCTAAGTTGAATACCTAGAATATGCACGTCATTACTAGAAATATAGATATAATTTACTTATAAATACTTTTTAATATTTTCACTTTTGTTGCTTTTATAATGCAATCAAAATGCATAAGTATTTTCAACAATTTTTACAAATAATTCACTATACATGTGTTTTCAGAATCATAAAATAAAGAAAAAATTATAATATTAATTTCCCAAATAACTAATGATAGAAAAAGTTGTTTTCTTTTAGCAAAACAATATAGAACAATTTATCATATAATAATCACAAACATAACAATACCATTGGCATATTATTTAGTGAATATCTTTATGATATTGACATGTTTGTCTTATGTTAATGTTAACGGAAAATTACATATTGTTACATATTTATTTGAAATTGTTATACAATAAGACTGTCACTGATACAGTGATTAGATTTGGCCTTTGTACAAGTATATTGAGAATAACAAGATACAAAACTTAGACTTTTCCATGATGTGCTTTATCCAATGATTCTCCTGAAGAATGTAAGGAACCTGAAATATATAAAAAAAAATGTTTTAATAAAGTAAAAAATATATTTTTTCAATTATAACTTATATTTTTATTCATTTTTTTTATATTTTAATGTGTACAAGTAAAAAAACATATTTATACAATTTAAGAAAATGCAAGGAGATAAAAATAGATTTCGATAAAATAAAAAATTATGTATGTATATAAAAAAAAATTCTGTGAGAATTGAGCATAGTAATGCAATAAAGGAATATCACAAAATATATTAGAAAACAGAAGATATATACACATATTGCGTGTGTCGTTAGCATAAATTAAAATTGATTAAGCTCTTTAACCTGACACGGCATCTATTTGGGATTATTTCCTTCCATAGTACTCCAAAACTGTCTCACTTTAGAGAAACGTTTGCGTCCTTGCATGCATAAAAATAAAAAAAAAATGGAACAGATGATAGTAACAACCAAAATGCTTTCCGAAAAGACAGGACGGAGATGAATCTGACTAATACTATGATATCCCAATGAATGTGTCGTCGCTCTGTATCACATACTGTTTTCACAAACCTTTGTGATTGCGCGCACGTTGCTCTCGTTGATGAGGATGGAAACCAGAATTGCGTGGGGGCGGCAGTGATTCTTCCCCCCAAGGATGCGTCGTTCCGAAAGGTGGAGGAAAACCGGGTGGAGGAAGAGGCGGAATGCGATCGCTACCAAATGGAAGAGGTGGTGGCGATCTGTGATGATTAAACGATGGAAGTAAATGCGGTGGAGACATCGGTGGCGGTGGAGATCCGGCGTTCTCATACCTGCTCCCGGAAGTGAGCTGAGGATGTAAGGGTGGCGGCGGCGGCATCGGCGGAGGTGACGATAATCTGCCGCCGAGAGGTGGAGGACGCTGACTGATATCATATGGAGGTAGACCGGAGGTAGTGGGCGGTAAGGGTGGCAGATACGGCGGGAAACAGTGTAGATAGGAAGGCGGTGGAGGTGGAGGGACACCCGAGGAACCACTAAACATTACTGGAGAGCTGGACGATTCTGCTCCTATGAATAATGGCGGCGAAGTCACCGTTTCCCCATTTGCTTCCAAACCTGTTTGAAAATCAGTTTACGAAAATAAAATATCCGAACAGAAACATACGATCTTGCAGTTTCGACGTATAATAACTTGCACAATCCACCCTCTGTAGATGAACCTGAACACATTTCTGATGCGCTAATTATATATCTATGACATTATTACATTGATTTAAATTACTACTTGCTAAGAAACTAGATAATCTTTCTATTCTACAGATTGCAACATTATATATTCTACAATTATAGTTTCTACAAGATCTTTATAACAAATTATTATTTGCTTACGAAAAGTATTGTGTATGGATATAATATAACACATGTAAAAAATTTAAAAAAATATATTACTATAATAGTCAAAGATAAATTTTATAATAGATATATAATCTTTCTCCAAGCTAAAAATTATTAATTGTTAAGCTTGTTTGCTAAATATGTATGCATATAATAAATATCTTCTAATAAAAATACTTACGATGTAATTTTACTTCAGGATCAGTATCGTTTAGGTTTAGATTTTTCTGTACAAGAGTAAGACGATTACGTAATTGACCAGCCTCGGCTTTCGATTCTTCCAAACGACGCTCATTTTGGCGGGCAGCAACCTTATAAAACAGTATATATATATTATATATAGTGTGTATGATATATATATATATATATATATATAAGCAGGTAGAGCACAGTAAACTGAACAGAAAAGTCCTGTATCATTTTTTTCTATAACGCTTAATAAAGGAGTTATTATTGAGTAAAGCCAATCAGCGTCGATCTTTAGCCGCGCGCCTGGTAGTGTGCGTGAGCGCTCCGTCGCTACGGCGACACACACTAACAGACGGGCGGCTCATTGACGTGCGTCCGGCTAAAAGTCGGCGCTGATTGACCAGACTTTATTCAATAATAACTCCTTTATTAAGCGTTATAGAAAAAAGTGGTACAAGACTTTTCTGTTCAGTTTACTGTGCTCTACGTGCTCACGAGCGTTGTCAAGGGTGCTTTGGGACACCCTGTATATATATATTACCCATTGTTCATGTGCTTTCGTTTCCAGAGCAGATATTTGATTTTTATATTCTCTTTCCTGATCCATGATTTCTCGTTTTAAGATTTCTACTTGTTGCCTAAAATAAAATTTTCTATGATGAATTAATTGTAATTTGAAAATTTGCTAAACAAGAATTCTTGTAATCACAGGTACATTTATGAGAATATCTTAACTTGTTCTAAATAATAGTGTAAATAATATAAATTTCCAATTTTCAGATTTTCTTTTCATATTATTAAATGAATTTGTCCAATTGTGCTTACTTATAATTTTGTATTTCATTTTGCATTGTATGTATCCTTTCGACCGTCGATACAACTTCTCCCTGTTTCTGCAGCCACATAGCTTCTTCCCTAAAATAATGACAACATTAATAATTTATCTAAATGTAAGACCACACACACACATTTTTATTAAGATTAATCATTGCTTACTTCTGGCGTTCAGCTTCTTTCTCTTTGAAAAACTTTGACAATACCTCAAGTCGCGTCTCTGCATCTTTCTTCTCTTTTTCAGCTATTTTACACTGATCACTTAGTGCATTTACCTCTTCCTTAACAAGTTTCATATGTTCTGCATAAAAATATTGTTATTAATTAAATTTAGTTAGAAAAATGTCGTGACTAATTCAAGATTTCTTATATTTAGAGAAACACCTTCTAATAATTGATGAGCGCCTTCAACATCACTTAATCGCATCTTTAATTCATCTCTCTCTTCACGTAATTGCAGTGCATCAATTTTAATGCGAGATACATCGTACAACTTTTCTAAATCCAACTTATTCGATTTGATCTGATTAACGATTTCCATCAATTCTTTAACTTCTATTTCTTTGCCTTTTAACTCTTTATATAATGATGACTTTTCGATAAACAACTAAAAAGAAGTGACAAATAGTGTATATATATCTTTTGATAACTAAATTAGTATAATTATATATAGTATATATA